ATTTGAAATGGGCGAGGAGAGAAAATGTTTCTTTTTGAGGATACTCACAAGAACAAATCCAGGGAAGATGGGAGCCCTGTAGCTCAGGGGATTAGAGCCCGTGGCTACGAACACGATGTCGGGGGTTTGAATCCCTCATCACCCAATCGGCCCAAAAGGGAAGTACCTTTCCCTTTGGGGGTGAGAAAATCAAAGTTTACAAGTGTACAAAAAGCTTTCCAAGTGCTTATTCTAGTGACCAGTGAGAGAGAATCAAATAGTGAAGATCCAGTTATCTATACTCGGTAGAAGTAAAGTAAACTCGTGTAGAGATCCAGTTATCTATACTCGGTAGAAGTAGAGTAAACTCGTGTAGAGATCCAGTTATCTATACTCGGTAGAAGTAGAGTAAACTCGTGTAGAGTTGAAAAACTTAGATGCTCAACTAAACTTTTGACATTTTCAAAATTGCATTCTAAACTTGAATTTTAATAAACTAGTGCATTTTTCCCCAAAAACAAAAAAAAAAAAAAACAAAAAAAAAAACAAAAAAAAAAAACAAAAAAAAAACAAAAACTAGTGCATTTTTACTAAATAAGATAAATTTATATATTATTCAATCAAAATAAACCTCCATTTCCAATTCCAACTAAAAATAATTAATATATTTAATTTACACTATAATATAGTAATTTTTTATTTTTCATAAATATATTTTATTTTGTAATAAATTTATTTAAATTTAATTTTATTTACAAATTTAATAAAAGTTAGGGAAAATGACACTTTTTCTCCGTGTTGTTTATGTAACCACTTTATCCCCCTCAATTATTTCTAAAGTGACTATTTCTTCCCCTCTCTGTTAAATAAATGTTTAGACTGTTAAATATGAGGGTAAAAATGACATTTCACCTATTATTATTATTATTATTATTATTATTATTATTATTGTTGTTGTTGTTGTTGTTGTTGTTATTGTTGTTATTATTGTTATTCTTGTTATTGTTGTTGTTGTTATTATTATTATTATTATTATTATTATTATTATTATTATTATTATTGTTGTTGTTGTTGTTGTTGTTGTTATTATTATTGTTATTGATGTTATTGTTGTTATTGTCTTTCACCGCCCAATCTACTCCACCACACCCTAATTACAGCTAGTTTCCTTCTGTCCTCAACTCCTCATTGATGTCTAACTCCTAATGGAGTGGTTGTTACGTTCCTCCCCGATTTCACCGCCGCCATGGTGAAGATGAGTCTCCTTCAACCGTCCCCCGGAGTGGAGCTCGAAATCCGCGACATTTGCAGCGAGGTGAATGCCAACACAGTTGCATCCATGTGAAGTTCGTTTCCATCACCATCAACATTTTACTCGGACTGTGAAGATGATAATAATAATAATAATAATAATAATAATAATAATAATAATAATAATAATAATAATAATAATAATAATAATAAGTGAAAAGTCATTTTTACCCTAATATTTAACAACCCAAATAGTTATTTAACGGAGAAGGGAAGAAATAACCACTTTAGAAATAATTGAAGGGGATAAAGTGGTTACATAAACAACACAGGAAGAGAATGTGCTATAAGTAAATAACTTGGGGGGGGGGGAAATGTCATTTTTCCTAATAATAAATTAAAGTCTTTTGATCTTTAGGGTAATAGTATGTTTTAAATTTACTTGAAATTATTATCATTAATGGTCAAGAAATAATGCTTAGTTTGGAGTAATCCTTAAAGTGCAAAAAATTAATAAGACAAATTATGATAAATTAGGATATTCTAATGATTTTATTTATAACTTCGTCACAGAAATTATGGCACTGATATTTTAAAAACTAAAACAAATTAATGGGACAAATTATCTGACAATTGAAAAGACAGTCGACAGACAGAATATTCGACACATTATACACGTTTTGTGCCCTTTCGTGCCTCTTAAAGGAGACAAATTTGATTGGAAAATGGTTGATAGCCGCTAGTTGATTAGGTTAGTAAGTTTGATTAGTTAATAATATTAGTTAATTATAAAAAAGTATTTTGATAAATTAGTTATTAGCTGATTAGATACAAAATGATTTTTTTTAAAAATTTATCGAAAAAAAACTATTTTGAGCAGTTTTTTAAATTTTAGCATTTTGAAGTAATAAGTTGTTACAAAAAGTTAATTAATTAAATACTTATATCGATTGCTTAACCAAGTAAAACAATTAATATTGATTAAATATAATAAAATTAACTGACTAACTATTTTACCAAACAGGGCCAATGAATTATGATAGAACTCTCTATCTCTTTCAGATAACACAAGGAAAAATGTGGACACAATGAATTATGGTGCAAATTTTTTTTTTTTTTGTCCCTTTTAATATGGGACAAAGGCTATTTATAACCCTTTCTATAATCATTTTTTCAATTCAAATGTGTCAAAATCAATTTTTCATTTGTCTATTATCCGTTTTAAACGTGTAATATATCAATATTCTTGTCTCAGTACGAAAATCCTGAATTCACTTTGACCATATTCAAATCAAAAGTGAACCCTTCATATATTTGTACCACAAAATAGCTACAAACAATGTCATGTTTGTTATTTTTTTCAACAATAATCTTTTCGTAAGGTTATTTCGCTCCATTCTATAATAATAATTATACTGAAATGACTCTCATAATTATATTGTAATTGTAATCGAATTTATCAATATATGTAACAGTGTCTTTAATATAAATTAACCATAAAAATTATATATAATAATATGCGCAAAAGTATTACTAACGGAATAAATTTGCAACTAGTCTTTGATTAGTTTAGTCATTTTGTGGTATTAGGTTTTAGCAAGTAAAATAGTATTAGGAGACAATAATATAGAAAAGTGTTAGGATCAAGCGTTTTTCAGTATGTCAAAAATTATAATTAATAACAAAGACGTAGTTTTATTTCTTTATACTATCATATATTTTCAGAGATTCAAAGTGCTGGACTTAACCTTTTATCATCATCTGCTAACAAAAAGTAAACGAAATCAAATTGTGTTTATTTTATTCAAGTAATTTGAGAGAAAATTTAAGTACAACTATGTCAGCACGACAACATAATAACAACTTGAATGCTAAGAAAATTGGATCCTATTACAAAGTACAATTCTACTATTTTTACAACAATTTGTCTTAGTAATAATAATGTGCGGCAGCCGAAATAAATAATATATTGTGACTCTGTTTTGTAAAATAGTTAGCTTATAGATCAATTTTGGTTTATTTGACCTTTATTAGTTGTTTGACTTGGTTTAAAAATTAATATAAATATTTGGTTTAAAAATCCGACGACCAGCGACGGCTGAACCGTCGTCGATCGCCATCTTGGTCGCCTTCTCTTGTAGATGTCGATTGGCGACGGTTCAACCATCGCCAGTCGCCTGATTTTTGCTTGAACTTCGCCAGATTTTTGCCTGAACCGAGATGACCTGTAATAACAGGTCATTTACTGATTCTTGGGCTTCATTGCCTCAATTTGACCAATCATTATACCATGCACCATGGTGCACATAGCAACATGCGACCCGCACCTCACAAAACGACGTCGTTTTGTTAATTTCAGGTATAAAATTCTGTGCATTATATTACATAATTCTGTACATTCGAAACATGAAAATTTTCAGTTATAAAATTCTGTGTTTCCAGGTATAAAATTCTGTGTTTTCAGGTATAACATTCTGTACATTCTATTATATAATTCTGTACATTCGAAACATGGGTTTTTTTTAAGAGTTAAGAGTTTATGTGTATTATGTTAAGAATTTATGTATATTATGTTAAAAGTTTATGTATATTATGTATTATGTTATATTATGTGTATTATCCTTTCAAAAAAGATTATGTGTATTCAGTTATAAAATTCTGTGTTTTCATGTATTAAATCCTGTGTATTCTATTATACAATTCTGTACATTCAAAAAATGTTTTTTTTTTTAAGGAGTTAACAGTAGACACGCGAAAAGGTACAAAACGACGTCATTTTGTGTCAGGGCGCACAATGCATTGTGTGCCCTGATGCACAGTATAATTTGCTCAATTTGTATGTTTGAGTGTTTGATTGAACCTTTTAAAAGTTTAGGTGCCTAATTAACTTTGGTGTAAAATTTAGAGGTCTATTAGACCCTTTTCCCTATATATTATTATTATTATTATTATTATTATTATTATTGTAATTATTATTATTATTATGAATGTCTTTATATCTTTTTACATTTAATCGCTAATAGTAAAAAATTAATTTTACCAAATATCTTTTTACAAATTATTAATGTAATCTCCTGATCAAAACTTGCTAACATAATCCACTATCTCTTAACGGCTAATACAATCCATTAACAACTGATTGTCAAACAAGGCCATAACGTTTTGGTTAATAGTCTAATTTGTATTGTCAAATCTCTACTGGTGATTGTCGGCCACTATCTTTACTCCGTACTCAAATAGGCATGGGAAGCTTGACTGTCATACTGCCATCTATGGCAAAACTACTACAGTAAAAGACACAAAAAGTTAAATAATGCGTGCTGTTCAATTGGCCCAACGTCAATATTAAAAATATAAAAACAAAAAACAACTTGCTTTAATTTTGAGCTGTCATTGTGGAGACGGCAAATTATTCGGTGGAAAATGCTAAATGTATTTTTATTCATACTCCTAACTTGTACTCCCACATTTAAAAGATTGATGTAAACATTTTTACCGGAACCCACATGAATATAATAACATATTAGAACCCATCGCATAAGTAAATTTGAGAGAGTAAGATTTGGGAGCACATGTAATATAACTTTTATTCGGTAGACTCGGGTTCAAAAATACACAATTTAAATATTGAATGTTAATAATTTTACATACTAAATGTTCACAATTTATATTTTAAATGTGAATATTCAGTAAGTAAATTATATATTTTGGACTTGAGTCTACCTTGCAAGGTGGACCGGGTCGATGGTATAACAACTATAAATATGGACTCAACCAAGCTTACAGATGCACCTAGTTAGCATAGCAGCTAAGAAGCATGAAGCTTTTCCACTGTTTTCTTCTTCTAACTACACTCTCTTTGGCATCCCTTTCTACTATAGCCTATACCGCTGATATCAAACCTGATTACTTTTTCATCAGTCTCAAAGTATATGCTTCGTTTATCTTAATTTTACCCACTATTTTCAATATAGTACTCATTTATGTATCAAGTAATATTTTGATGAAAGAGTGATAGTGTAATTTTTAAATATAATTTTTTTTTTTTTTTGGTGTTAATGTTTGTAGTGGCCAAAGACCCAGTGTCAGAGCAAGGAAGGGTGTTGCCTCCCAAAGAAAGGAAGCCCTTCTTTGAATGACTTTGTCATTCATGAATTTCAAGCATTTTACTCTAGTAATGGAGGGACAAACGCAAATTGCACAACCGGAACCAAATTCCAACCGTCAAAGGTATAATATAATGGAGATTTCTAATCAGGTGAGAATCATCATTAACCTGCAAACTGTGAATTTGTGAAGGATTGGACCGCAACTAATACATGATTGCACTGTTACGGCTTTCCAACATGTTTAGAGGACCTTGCTGTGTAATCCTTCACAAGTTTGCAATTTGCAGGTTCAGGTTGATTCTAACCTGATTAATGGTCCATAATCAGGTTAGAATAATTTGAAATTTCAATTTATGCCCACTTTTTTTGGTATGTAGATTGCAGATTTAGTGCCGAGTTTGCAAAAGTATTGGCCCTCATTGAGTTGTCCCAGTAGAGATAGCAAGAAGTTGTGGAAGGAAGAATGGGTGGAGTACGGTACTTGTGCTGAAACAGTATTCAATCAGCATGATTACTTTGCAGCTGCTCTCAGAGTCTACAAACAAATTAATCTCCTCAAACTTCTAGCTGATGCAGGTAATTGAAATAGTACTATAGTAGACCTCATTGTATTTTTTTTTTAGGGCAAACCACGAGGCGTTTCGGGAAGTCTTTTTCCGTCTGTTTAATAGTCCAGATCCACCCGACTAATTCTCCAAATGGGAACTGCCACTTGTGAAAATCGAACCCTGGTAATCCGGGGAATCATCTCCACGAAGAAGTTCATTTGTCACCACCTGAGCTACAGAGCTATCCGTTTCGGTTAGACTCGATCTTCTAATCTGTTTATGATGTGGTTGCAGGAATTAAACCGAATGGTAAATATTACCCGGGAGATGCAATCAATAAAGCTATAGCAAAAGCTGGATTAGGTGAAATAACGGTATCATGTCGAGAAGACGAAAAGGGAGTGAACGCTGTTTTGGATTACATTACATTTTGTGCTAGCAACAAGGGTAAGAAGATCAAATGTCCTGGGCATTCCTTTTGGATTTGCGACAGTACAAATGGGAATAATGTCAAATTCCCCTATTAAAGATGGTAATTGAGTGAGTGAGCTTTGAATAAGGGAATTGAATACTCCCAATATTCGGCTAGAGCAAAGTTTGAATTAATTAAATATGCTGTACTACTTAAACTTGTACTTTGCATGTATTCCCTATAATTAAGAAAATAATAAGTGATGCATGTATTGTACATGCAAGGAGGTTGTGTTTTAATTATTGGTTTGTTATATTAACGTTATTTTTTTTTAAAGATTCGCATGCATTTCTAAGAATATTTGTAATGAAAACATAACTCAGTGCTTCTAGATCTCAATATTTAATTTCGCATGAAAAATAAAAATATGTTCAACCTATAGATGCTAATTGCGTAAATCTAGACTCAACTAATAGTTGTTGACAAGAATCAAACTAATAATTTCCGCACGGACTTAACTCATTAGTTCAATAAACAGTATTAGGAGAAGAGACCAAGGTTCAAACTTCGGTAGTGACAGCGTGAGGATTATGCCTAAAGTGGATAGATCCTTTGTGTGCACCGGTAGTTGGCTCTGTCTGATGAGTCATTGAGTTACCGTGATTTACATCTTCCTAAATGCTCTGTCAGGCCGAGATTTGGGAGCCTTTGGGGTTGAGAATTCAAATTTTTGAGAGATGAATCAAACTTATAATGACCTTTTGATTCAAAAATTATGCACCACCCAAACATCTTGCTTAAGACAATATATATAATAATAAAGTCTTTTGATCTTTAGGGTAATAGTATGTTTTAAATTTACTTGAAATTATTATCATTAATGGTCAAGAAATAATGCTTACTTTGCAGTAATCCTTAAAGTGCAAAAAATTAATAAGACAAATTATGATGAATTAGGATATTCTAATGATTTTATTTATAACTTCGTCACACAAATTATGGCACTGATATTTTAAAAACGAAAACGTACAAATGGGACAAATTATTGACAATTGAAATGACAGACAGAATATTCGACACATTATACACGTTTTGTGCCCTTCCGCGGCTCTTAAAGAAGACAAATTTAATTTGATTGGTAAATGGTTGATAGCGGTTAGTTGATTAGGTTAATAAGTTTAACTAGTTAATAATATTAGTTAATTATAAAAAAATATTTGATAAATTACTTGTTAGCGGATTATATGTAAAATGATTTTTTAAAAAAATTGATCAAAAAAAATTATTTTGAGCAGTTTTTTGAATTTTAGCATTTTGGAATAATAAGTTGTTACAAAAAGTTAATTAATCAAACACTCAAAAGTATTTGGTTAATTAGCTTTTTGTACTCCAATATGTTAAAATTCAAAAAGCTACACAAAGCAACTTTTTCAATTTGCTTTTAGAAAAAAAAAAAATTATATCAAACAGTTATCAGCTAACAGCTAATTTACCAAACACTTTTCTACAATCAACTAATGTTATCAACTAGTTATACCCTCTAATTAACTCAATCAGCTAACATACATTTACGAAACAGGGCCTGTATAAGCCAAGATGACTTCTCATAACTTGTGTAATGGCAACGGTTACGTTTCATATGCAAATGCATTTATGTTGTCTTCTTCTCCCAAAAGGTCGAATCTCTAATCCCGGGCTGACATAACATTTGGGAGGATATAAATCACGGTGACTCAACCAAGCAGGGTCATGGTAATTCCCATACTGTCACTCTCAAAGTTCAAATTTTAATTCTTCTCTTAAATATTACCTACTAAATCGGTGAATTAAACCTGTGTGAGCTGCATTTATGTTATTTAAATGACTAAATGAGCTCCGAATTAAAGAAAATGAGTTATTGGGTTTGGGACATGCACCTTACACAATCCTAAAATAATAATTAGATTAGGGGAATTAGATTGGATTAGACACCATTATTTTATCAAATAATTTAACTTACTAACGAGAGATAGATGTGGTTACTCAATTATTGTTTTACTTTTGTAGGAAGGGTATATATGTTTTTTTTCCCACTACGTCAATGCTAATAAATGGAACCAACAATGCTTTACTAGAATGCTAAGACAAAAGCTTACCTAAAAGCTGAATGGAGAAAAAGTTTAATTAGAAAGCTCAAAGGTGTGACCCAATTCAAGGTTGTTGCAAAAATCCCATGCCACTATCGAACGCTATACAAAGCAAATAAAATAGACAATATTTGTTGTCATCAGTTTCCTTTTGAAAAATGGGTTTTCACTAATAATAATAATAATAATAATAATAATAATAATAGTCCTTTTCAACGAAGAAAAAGAAGCCATTGGATTTCAGTGACAAGCATTATTGCATGGATCGTTGTTCATACAATTGTGGATCATGGTCTAAAAACGACACCGTATCAAGAAAGAAAAAATGAGAGGGAAAAAAAAACTAAAATCTAGAAGAAAAAAACTAAAATCTAAAAAAAAAATTAAAAAAGAAGAATTACGTGCCCATATGGGCGTGAGGCGCAACTCTCATTCTCCATTGGTGGCCCCCACTTACCTGCAAAACTCCCAAATTAGCAGGACCAACCTACCCCTCTCTCTCCTCTCTTCTCCACATACTCATTTTTTTCTTAATTCTTGTGCAAAACCCCCCTATTGGGGATAGCCTAACACATAAAAAGTACATTATTTTAACACATAAATATATTATTCTAACTCATACAATGCGTTATTATCACCCCAAAAGATTTATTATTCTAACACATTATCTTAGTCTGATAAGTGAAAAATAATTTTTTTAAAAAAATCAAAGCGATGTTGTTTTGAACCGCGATCCACACAATAACTTGCCTTTATGTGATGTGGCCCCCGCCCACGTACGTCGACTGAAATTCCAGCGCGAGATGCATTATATTCACATGGATATGAAGGCTGAAAATAAGTCCAACTTTTTCATTATTCAAATCATTTTTATAATATACAGATCCTTTAAGAGCCAAGTTCTGTGGGCTCAGTTTATATCCATATCTATAGACTATTGACTATAGTAGTCCAAATCTGATGGCTCCCATGGTAACTTCGTTTTTATTCCTCGATCAAAGAATACAGAAATATTAAAAAGAGTTCTTAATTAAGGACAATTCAAATATTAAATAATAATAATAATAATAATAATAATAATAATAATTATTATTATTATTATTACTACTACACATATCTATATTAAAGGACCCCGTCCATCATTGGTGACTAGGGAATAGTTGGGTGGAGGCAGGTAAAGGGTCAAGTCCATCAGTTGGTGGCTAGAGATAGTTGTTGGAGACCGGTAAAGGGCCAAGGGTCAAGTCCATCAGTTGGTGGCTAGAGATAGTTGTTGGAGACCGGTAAAGGGCCAAGGGTCAAGTTCAGTAATCAGTACCATACCTCTCGAAAATGTGATAGCGATCTATAAGAAAATAAAGTTACGCATTCGCTACAATCTATATCTTTTGACGTAGTAGTAAGCGCTTGATCCTAACAAGTGATATTAGTTAAGTCATGGGCACAAAAAACTGTGTAATTAGGCAATTTATATCCTACACCGCGGCGCGCGTTGCACTATGCGCCCAGATGCAAAACGACGTCGTTTTAATTTTTTTTTTTTTTTTGAAATTTCCCGCCCCAGTGAATGGCAGTAGTTTTTTCTTTAAAAAAAAAAAACCACTGTTCAAGAATGTACATAATGTTATACTAGAATACACATAATTGTATACATGAATGTACATAATTATATAACAAAATATACATACTCTTTTTAAAAGATAATACACATAATCTAACATAATACATAATAAACATAAACTTTTAACATAATACACATCAACTCTTAACATAATAGACACAAATTTTCTGATTCGGATGTACATAATTGTATAAAAAGAATGTACATAATTGTATAAAAAATGTGCATAACTGTATGAACCAATACACATAACTGTATGAACAAATACACATAACTTTGTGAACAAATACACATAATCCCAGCAACTTCCTACCGCGCCTCCCAAAACGACGTCGTTTTGGGAGGCGCGCGGCGCACAGTGCTATGTGCGCCGTGGTGTAGGGTATAACGATTGGTGTAATTAGTTGGTAGGTGTTGGGAGGGGCGATTGTTGGGCGGAGGCTTGGTAAAGGGCCAAGTCCATCAATTGGTGGCTAAAGAAATTGTTGGACGGGGCTGGTAAAAGACGAAGTCCAGCACCCTACATCTCAAAAATGTGATGGTGGTCTATAAGAAAAATAAAGTTACACTTTCGCTACTAGCTATAACTTTTGTAAGCGCTTGTTCCTAACATTGCATTATCAAATATTGAGTTTGCATCTTGTTTGTCAATATAATTTTTGAAGAAAAAAAGAGTATTTAGGGTGTATTTGGTTAATGGGTTTACACAATAGGAATGAAAATTTAAATCATAGTTATGGTTTGGTTGGCAACTTTTTAAAACACATTTATGGAATTTGATTACCCCTTCAATTAAGAACCTCATTCCTTAATTAAAAAGTGTATTATTCCATCTTATATTGATAATTTGATTTTTAAGTTTGAATTAGTGATTTAAATTTTTGTTTTGATTTTTTGTTTATATTAGTGCTTTGGATGTCATTATATTAGGATCAATTGCCTTGATTTTGTTTTTGTATTTTTAAAACTTTTATTTCCATTATAAGGTCATACATAACCAAACATAAATATTGGCAATCATTCCAATTCTACCATACCACCAAACATGCAAAATACTTTCACTAATATCCATACCATTACCAAATATTTGGCAAATTATATCGTGCACCGCGCATCAAAATGAGGTCGTTTTGTTTAATGAAAAGAAACGGCATTCGTTTTCCGCCGTTCCGCACCCTTACGCAAAAAGTTTCAATTCAACACAACTACAGTTTCATTTCAATATAACTACAGTTTCATTCGATATTTATAGACTTAAATATGTGAAACTATTATTTAATTTTATTTTATATACACTATAGTTTTATTAAAACACAACTACATGATTATTTTGATATAATTACAACTTCATTGTATAATATACACTCAAATATGTAAAATGTTATTCAGTTTCATTTTATATACAATGTAATTTCATTTCACCACAACTACAGTATCATTTTGATGTAACTGCAGTTTCATTTTATAATATAAAAATAATACATGAGGCAGTATCGGTTTAGATATACTGTAATGTCAGTTGGTAATTAACATACAAAAAAATACACGATCTGTTAAAATTAACGGCGCGCCGTTTTTTTACTCAAAGAAACAATGTTGTTTTGACCGCGGTACACGTACACCGCAGTCCATAATATAACAACCCCAAATATTTGATTTTCATTTCCATTCCGATTGTCATGTGCGAACCAAAGTTACCAAAGACACCCTTAGGGGCCGTTTGGTTCACGGAATGTTAGATTACCTTAGGGAATGTTAGATTGCTGGGAATGTTAGATTACTGGGAATGTTAGATTCCTGTGTTTGGTTAAAATTGAGGTATGTAATATAATCATGTTTGGTTTAGGGTTATCTTTTATATATATATATATATATATATATATATATATATATATATATATATATATATATATATATATATATATATATATATGTTAAGGATATTATACTATATAGAATTAAAATGACAAAATTTATAAATATCCAAGGTTATCTTACATAACCTTAGAAAATGAAGGGAATCACATTCCCTTCAAAATCCTATGTGGAGGGAATGTTTCATTCCCTGGGAATGTTATATTCCCTCCGAGAATATGAACCAAACACAGGAATGTAAGCTCGGGAATGTCACATTCCCTTGGTTATGTAATATAACCTGAACCAAACGCCCCCTTATTGTTTTTAAATATGGTGTGTATAGTAGCCGTGTCTGCTAAACACAAATTTGAAACTTCCATCATGAAAGCAGGTCATAGGAATGTAAGATGAAATCAGGTGGCTCTAACAATTCCACTAACACACAGTCGGAAATCGGGTCAAATTAAACTAGGTGCTATGTCGACCATCTGGCGCCTGGCGGCCACTAAGCCACTTGCACTTCACAGGTAAATTACAGTCTACACAATGTGTGGACCACGGTAGAAATTTCTTGTTCTGTACGTGTTAGAATAATAAACATTATGTGTTAGAATAATTTACTTTATGCGTTAGAATAATTAATTTTATATGTGTTAAATAAGGAAATTTCCGGAATAAGATAATAATGACCATGTTTGATAACATAGTTAGCTTATAGTCAATTTTGACTTGTTTGACTACTATTAGCAGTTTGACTTGGTTAAATAGCCTGAGTATTTGATTAATTAGCTTTTTGTAAGTGCTTATTGCTCCAAAACGCTAAAATTTAAAAAGCTACTCAAAACAGCTTTTTCAATTAGTTTTTTTGAGAAAGTCATTTTGCATGTAATCAGTTAATAGCTAATAGCTAATTTTTCAAACATCTTTCTACAATCAGTTAATGCCATCAACTAATCAAACTCACTAACCCGATTAGCCATTTACCAAACACCCCCATGAATTTTATGAGTTAAAATAATGTACTTTATGTGTTAGAATAATGTATTTTACTCCATCTTTCCAATTTTATCTATCATATTTACTATTCATTAGTCAAACCAACTCTTTCTTCTTTAATTTGTTTATTTTCTTTATTATTTTTACTTAATTTTTTTTTTTTTGTGTTTAATAGTACTATTAGTGTAGTTTCTAAATATATAAATTTCGTATATTAATACTATACTTAATATTATAAAATAAAATTGGATTAAAAATAACTCCAATCAAGCCTTATTAATCGAATCGGACACATAAAATAGGACAGAGGGAGTATGAGTTAAAATAATGTATAACGAACTTTATGTGTTAGAATAATGAAATTTCTAAGGTAAGATAATATATTTTATGAATTAAAATAATGTACTTTATGAGTGAGAATAACATACAATTGTGTAGACCACGGTCCACGCAATAATGATGGTATTTCAATTACCTGCATGGACAGCTTAACTGGTCATAGCTCTGTCGGGTTGGGGTTCAACATTTTGGAAGAATGATGGTACTTCAATTCATAGGCATGTGCTACTTGCCTGTCATCCATATATGACCCAATATAATTGACCTAAGACATTAAAAATAATTGTCACGACAACTATAAATATGGGCTGAACCAAGGAAACAAATGGACGAGGTTGTTACCATAGCTAGCTGCAAATTAAAGAAGCATGAAGCTTTTCCTCTGTTTTCTTCTTCTAACTGCACTCTCTCTGCCATTCCTTTCCTCTATATCCGCCGACACCTTAGATGATAACTTTTACATCAGTCTCAAAGTATGCTCTCAGCTCCTATTTATTTTAATTTAATGATTTCATTATTCAGTTTAATTATTTTATTCACCATCTCCAATAATATTTAATGGTGTTTTCAATTCTTATACATAAGTTTAACTCTTTTGGTGTGTGCACAGTGGCCAAAGAGTCAGTGTCAAAGCAAGGAAGGCTGTTGCCTCCCAAAGAAAGGAAACCCTTCTTTAAATGATTTTGTCATTTATGAATTTCAAAGAGATTTTGTATCGAATTGCCCAAATGGAACCAAATTCCAACCATCAAAGGTATTATTTCTATAATGTCATATATAGTTTCAAAACAAGTTTTCAAGTTTCTGTACAGACAGTGCTTTCTGTGCGGTCATGATGTTACCATTAGTTACGGATAAAAGTAATTCGTCAGCTTGAACCTTTTGATATGTAGATTGCAGATTTGGTGCCGAGTTTGCAAAAATATTGGCCCTCCTTGAGTTGTCCTAGTAGAGATAGCAAGAGGTTGTGGATGGAAGAATGGTACAAGTTTGGTACTTGTGTAGAACCAGAATATAATCAGCATGATTACTTTGCTGCAGCTGTCAGTGCTTTCAAGCAAATTAATCTCCTCAAACTTCTAACTGATGCAGGTAATCAACTACATCTTATTTTATTACAAATATATATTCGCCATGGAAACATAGTTAGCTTATCAGTTAATTTTGACTTATTCGACCATTAGTAACTATTTGACTTGGTTAAACAATCAATATGTGTGTTTGATTAATTAGCTTTTTGTAACAACGTACTTATTACTCTAAAATGCTAAAATTCAATAAGTTACTCAAATCAACTTTTTGAGAAAGCTAAGTCATTTTGCATGTAATAAGCTATCAGCAATATAATAGCTAATTTACCAAACACTTTTCTACAATCAGTTAATGCTATCAACTAGTCAAACCCACTAACCTAATCAGCTAACAACTATTTACCAAACACCTTCGTTGTGTATTGTTGGGCCTCAACAGAGGCCGTTAAAGGGTCAAGTCCATCAATTAGACGTTAGGAAGATAGTCAAATCCACTAACCCAATCAGCTAATAACTATTTACCAAACACCCCCGTTGTGTATTGTTGGGCCCCAATAGAGGCTTTTTAAGGGTCAAGTCCATCAATTGGACGTTAGGGAGATTGTTGGACGGAGGCTGGTGAAGGGCCAAATCCAGCGCCCTGCCAATTGAAAATGTGATGGCGGTCTATAAAATAAAGTTACGCATTTACTACTAGCTATAACTTTTTGCATAGCGGCAAGCGTATGATCCTAACTAGTCGCATCAGAGTCGGGTCATGGGTGTCGTTGGACAGAGGCCGATAATAAAATAAAGTTGCGTCGTTGGTACTATTTATAACTTTTAGCGTAGTGGAAAACGTTTGATCGTAATGTGTATGGTATGATTAGTATGTTCAATTTTTTTATTGGCTGCAGGAATCAAACCAAATGATACATATTACCCGGGAGATGCAATCAATAAGGCTATAGAAAAAGCGGGATTAGGTGAAATAACGGTGACATGCCGAGAAGACGAAAAGGGATTGAACGCTGTTTTGGATTACATTACACTTTGTGGTAATATCAAGGGTAACAAGATAAAATGTCCTGGATCTTCCTTTTGGATTTGCGATGGTAAGAACGGCAATAAAGTCAAATTCCCCGCTTAAAGATGCTAAGTGAGTAAATTGTGAACAAGGGAATACTCCCAATTTGTCCAGAGCAAACTTTGAATGTGAATGTGTTGCTATTTTAGTTTCCTATATATGTCAGGAAGTAATTAGTTTTGTGTTAAATTTTATATCTAGCTATTGTAATTGATGGATTATGTTATATTGTTATAATAATATAATAATATTATTATTAAAATATTAAACCAAGTTTAGTGGGTTGGTTATTTTAATTAGTGAATTAGTGGTTATTTACTTTAGTGGTGTTAGTGGGTTAGTGGTATAATGGGGTTATGGTTATTAGTAGTTAGTTTATTTTAGTTTTATTATTTCACTATAAATAGAAGTTGTATTTCATAGCTTTTGAATGTTAAGTTGAATGAGTTTTTAAAAGGCAATAAACATTCTTATTTCTTATTCCTCTCTTTCTCTCTCAATTATATATATAGATATATTATACTAAATATATCTTATATTTGGTATCAGAGTTAGTCAATCTTTCAATTTCGAGATATTTTCCGCAGTAAAATATGCTAACAAATTTCAATATTGTATGGTCGGGTCCCAAATTGGATGAGAAACTCGATTACAATTATTGACAAATTATGATGACCACACATTTGAAAGCTCAAAATCTTTGGAGCTTTGTTGATCTCGGTCTACACGAAGGAGCTAATGCAGCCGCCATACTGCAAGATCAATTGGCCTGAATTGGGACAGATTCACCAAGGTGTTCATTACTCCATTTTTGGAAAATTAGCTCGTGCGCAAACAGCAAAGCAAGCTTGAGACATTTTAAAACTGTCACACAAAGGAGTCGATCGGGCACAGAAGTCTAAGTTGCAGTCGTTAAGAAGGTTGTATGATCATTGTGCGATGACCTCTACAGAAACAGTAGATATGTATTTCACTCGTCTTATTGATATGGTGAATAAGATGAGATTATATATATGGAGATACGATTGAAGATGGTGCAGTGGTTGAAAAAGTTCTTCGAACTATAAGGATGAAGTATGACCATGTGGTGGATTTAATAACAGAGTCACATAATACCGAGCTCTTATCAATTGCAGAGCTGAAAGGTATGATAGAAAGTCATATTGACAGGATTGCGTCAAAATCGGAACCACTAACAGAAGAAGCTTTGAAGAGCCAAGTCACCCTTAATATGACTGGCACTAATCAAAGAGGTGGAGGATCTGGTAGAGGTCGTGGAAGAGGAAGATGAGGATCTAGTGGAAGAGGTCGTGGTAACTCCAACCAAGGAAGAGGTGGAGGTAATACCAAACAAGGAAAATTTCCATTTCATTGCTACAATTGTGGCAAGTATAGGCACAAGATTGCAGATTGTTGGTATAATGAGGACAACAATCGTGGAAATCAAGCAAATATCGCTGAAAAGTCTGGTGAGAGTTCTGAAACTTTACTTTTGGCCAGTAATAGTTTCTCTGTAGATAAAAACATATGGTTCTTGGATACTGGGTGTAGTAACCATATGTGTGGGAAGAAAGAATTGTTTTCTGAACTAGATGAATCAGTCCGGTCTGAAGTGAGGTTTGACAATAAGTCAAAAGTGCCAATTTTGGGAAAAGGTAAAATCTCTATTCAGTTGAAAAAATGGTACTCACAATTTTATATCTGATGTGTTATATGTTCCTAAACTACATCAAAATTTGTTGAGTATGGGACAGTTGTCAGAAAAATGATATAAGATAAATATTACTCAGGGGTGTTGTACTATTGCAGATGCTGAGGGAGTTTTGATTGCAAAGGTAAATATGTCCCAAAATTGACTATTTCCTTTGAAAATTAACCATACACTTCTTGATTGCTTTAATTCTGAAATTTATGGTGATAATTCGTTATGACATATGCAGTTTGAGCATTTTCATTTCACTGGATTAAACTATCTTGCGAGAAAGGAACTTGTTTATGATTTACCTATTGTGAATGTTCTTAATCGTATCTGTGAGATTTGTGTGATTGGGAAGAAACACAGAGATCCCTTCTCCGTGGGCAAGTCAAGGAGAGCCACAAAACAGTTGGAGATTGTTCACTTAGACATGTGTTCGTTGGAGGTTCCCTCACATGGAGGTTGTAAGTACTTTGTTACTTTCATTGATGATTTCAGTAGGAAAACATGAGTTTACTTTCTGAAGCAAAAGTATGATGCATGTGATGTTTTCAAACAATTTAAGACTTTTGTTGAAAAGCAAAGTGGTTATAAAATTAAAATCTTGAGAACTGATAGAGCTAGGTACAGAATATATTGCTTTTGATAATCTTCTGAAGGAAAAGGGTATTCAGCACCAGATGACAGTCAGATACACTCCACAACAAAACGGAGTGGCTGAGAGGAAGAATAGATCTATCATGGATATGGTGAGGTGCATGTTGAAATCTAAGAACTGCCTAAGCCTTTTTGGGCAGAAACTGTTGCTTGTGCTGTCTATGTGTTGAATAGGTGTCCAACTAAGAGTGTCCGTGATAAGACACCTAAGGAAGCTTGAGTGGGAAAAAACCATCTATAAGATATCTTAAGGTTTTTGGATGTTTGGCATATGCATATGTGCCAGATCAATTGAGAAAGAAGTTGGATGATAAAGGTGAGAAGTATATATTCGTTGGTTATAGTGACGCTTCAAATGCTTATAAACTATACAATCCTGAAACAAAAAAATGTTGTTATAAGCTGTGATGTCACTTTTGATGAATATGGTGCTTCGGATTGGTCAACTAAAGATGAAAGGTCTATTGTTATTTCTGTTGTTGAAAATATTGTTGATGAGCAACCGATTCCAGATAATGTCTAGTCTGCTCCTTCGCAGCCAGAGTCATCAGTTTGACGATCTCAACGCGAACGCCACATACCAACTTACTTGCAAGATTATGTTTTAGGTCATGATAATAACTTGTCTGATGAAGAGATTGTTCAATTTGCTCTTTTTGCAGATTGTGACCCTTTATCCTTTGAGGAGGCTGCTACAGAAACTCATTGGCTTAAGACAATGGATGGATGAAGAAATTCGTGCCATTGAAAAGAATGGTACCTGGGAGTTAACAAAATTACCTCATAGAAAAAAGTCAATTGAAGTAAAGTGAGTTTACAGAACGAAATACAAGTCAATATATCCAACTTGAAGATGGAGACATTTCTTAAATTGAAGAAGGATATTGGGATGACCAATATATTCAATTTGGTTTAAAGGAGACAATATTATAATAATATTATTATTATAATATTAAACCAAGCTAAGTTTAGTGGGTTAGTTATTTTAATTAGTGAATTAGTGGTTAGTTACTTTAGTGGGTTAGTGGTATAATGGGGTTATGGTTATTAGTGGTTAGTTTATTTTAGTTTTTATTATTTCACTATAAATAGAGGTTGTATTTCATGACTTTGAATGTTAATAGTTGAATGAGTTTTTAAAAGGCAATAAACATTCTTATTTGTTATTCCTCTCTTTCTCTCTCAATTATATATATATATATATATATATATATATATATATATATATATATATATATATATATATATATATAGTGAAAGGATCAGGTGCATTTGTTGCTTCCCGTGCGGATGTGCGGTGGATTAGGTGGATTAATGTGCGTGAGATTTGTACATAATGTGCGTGAGTGTTGTGCTTAATGTGCCTGAGATTTGTACTTAATGTGCGTGAATGTGTAAAATGCAGCAGAAAATATTGATGTCAGCTTCTTCTCCATCCCCAGTAGCCATTTGCCCCCTCCCTGATGATGATGATGCAGAGGCGGGCTATGGTGGTTAAGAATTATGAGAATAATACAACAGAAATTCACACTTAGCTACTGTGCAAATTTTACTGTGCGTGCGTCATTTATATAAACATTCAACTGCACTGAAGTTAGCTGATAATCCAGAATCCATGGCAAAATTGAAGGAAGAAGTAACAAGAAGCTTGGGCGTTAATGTGCGTGAGTTTCTGTTCTGCTTCCTTCTGAGCTCGTAATTCTGAAATACTCACGCACATTAAGCACAAATCTAACGCACATTAAACACAATACTCAGGCACGTTAAGTACAAAACTCACGCATATTAACATGACGCACATTAAGTATAAATCTTAGGCACATTGAACACAAATCTCACGCACATTAAGTATATATAAACCTCACGCACATTAATCCACCGCACATTCGCACGGGAAGCAACAAATGCACCTGATCCCTTCCCTATATATATATATTACATATATTGACTTGGGTAGTTCGATTCAAATAACCCAATAATTAAAAAGAATAAATGAGTACGATAAAGACAAGATAATGGAATGGAAAAGACAATGAATATTGTATATAGGAATCGTACGTGTAATGCTATTACAAGAGATTAGATGATGTTTTAACAAGATAATGATGGTTGTATTTATATTAATTCGCCCTCTAAATAACTCCACGAAAATAGGTTGGGTAGTTGGAACCCCTTGAATGAGTCCATGGCCGAAGCTGGCCTCAGACGCCCTGGGCGCCCGAGGCCGAGGTTCTCAGGAAGGAGGAATATTATAAGTATGTTTGCTGATGGTATGTTGAGGAAAGGAGTGCTAAAAGCACTATGTGGAAACATTTATTGCATGGGCATTGTCAAAGATTGGTGGTGAGCTACAGCTACTTTATTTGTCAGAAATGGATAGAGGTGTAGCATTGGCTAAGGTTGATGACTTCAATTCTCAAAATGTTGCTAACATAGCTGCTGATTTTGCTTCTATGAGCCACTCTGCTCCACAACCCTTTCAAGGATTGTCAAAAAGGGCCGGCTTGTGCTATAACTCACAAACACATTTCAACCACAAGAACTATAATTGCTCAGTTGTTGTGGGCATTTGCTTCTCTATATGAACATGCCAATCCATTACTTGTTGATACTGCGAATTATCTCATCTTTATGGATTGTTGAAATTGAAAGCCAGTCATGAGTGTGGCTTGCTTAATTGGTTAAGTTCTTTCAAACTATTGATGAATAATAATAATAATAATAATACAAGTTGTAGAAAATTAAAGGCACTATATATCACTCTCTGGGGGACTTTGTTACTATAAGTGAACCCAGCTATAGCTAATCTTTGTTTGCAGGCTTGATTTCAGGAGCTTTTGACATGGAAGATTCCTCATCACCATTCCCATCCCCAACTACTTGTGCCATCTCAACTGCCATATGATGAGGTGATGAATCTCTGGTGCCTGCTGCAACTTGGCTAGGGCCAAATGCAGCTCTTCTTCTTGCCTTCTTAGCCCACCCAACAAGGCCCTCTTGTATATGCTCTTGGAATATAGCTTTCTTGAATGAACTTCCCATCTTCAATCAATCACACACCAAATCTACTGTCAGTCACTCACTCACTCAGTCTCAAGATGTCTAAAACAGACAAACCTCTAGTTATAGGCAAATTATTGTGTGAACCACGGTCCATACAGTGTTGTGTGGACTATAACAAAAAATACATTTTTAATATACTATAAGTACATTATTCGTGTATTAAATGTACATTATACAAAATAATGTATTTTCAGTATTCAAATAATGTACGTTTCCTGAATAAAATGTACATTTTTAATATACTAATAATACATTATTTGTGTACTGAATGTACATTATTTAATAGTATGGTCCACACAATAATGATGGCTAGTTAGAGCAACCTCATCAATAGATTTTTGGGGGGTTTTTCATAACCAAAAAAAAAATAAAATCGAGGAGGTGTTTTTAACTAATAAGAAGGGGTGGCCGGTTTTTATTCCCGAAAGTTAATTTTTTTTTTGTGGGCCCATTAATTGAGAAGAAATTGGGAAAACAGCTTGCAGATGCGCTCCTGTGCATGCACCAGCTAGACGCGTAAATAACAATTTATTTATTTTACTTTTTGTTTTTAGCCTTTTTTTCTTTCTTTTTTCTTCTTCCCGCTTCCCTATCGTTCCTATATGTACCTGACAAAAATCAACTCAAAAATAAAACAATTGAAATTGCTCTGAGTACAACAAACTTTACCTGAGTAACAATTGCATAGAGAGGCAGAGTGCTGTAACTGCAGAGAAACTGTACAAACACCCTACACAAGTAAGCATGCCAATGGTCTTTATTAGTTTCACTTACTAATTTCAACCCAAACTTTATTGCTAATTTATCTTTTATAGCCTATAGGGAGGGTTAAGGTTAACTTACCCTATGACTAGTCTGGGGATGATGTAGCCGACTTGCCCCATGATGCACGAGTCAAAACCGTATTGGACCTATATATAAATTATAAATAAAATAAAAAATTGTAATTAGTGTAGCAGTATACGTATAAAATTAATTATAGAAGCTAAGCTAAGCAAAGATCAATTTTGGGTATAATTTGATAGATTTTTTCATTGGAGAAATCTGTTGTGCTTACCCAAATCCAGAAGAAAAATGCAATCTCAAAGGAATTTTGGAATAGGATTATATGAATGAGAATGAGTACTAGGCGTGGTCTATGAAACCAGAAGTGATCATCTGAAGGGTTAACGATGAGGTCTCCCCCTTCAAGAGCCACGTGCTTTGAAGCAACCTCTTCCGCCAGTTGAGTTATCACGTGCTCTAGTTTAGTCCCCACAGCAAGCAAAAGCTGTATATATATATATATGTATGTACATTTTATTTTACATACTGTTATATATGTGACTTAATTATGTATTATATATAGAGTTGATGAATTAACGAATTTTTGCATATAAAAATAATTGTACTTACAACCAAGGGAATGAATGCTATCCAGAAATACGCATGCCAGCCTGCAAACAAGAAATGGAAACGCAGAAAATTAAAGGACATTGATAATGATTCATTAGTATTATTATGCATGGATGGTACAACCTAACGTAACGTGAATTAAACTGAGATGAAATTAATACCATGAACATTCAGAAGCAGGAAAGCAACGACGAACACCCAAAGATACCAACTGCATATATGCCACCGCAGTAAACAATAATAATGTAAAAACTTGATTAGCATCGGGTTTAGATCGAATACTTATCTATCTCTCAAATGCTCTCTCTTTTTGTTTTTAGGATGACGAGAGAAACCCGCCGCAGTCACTACTAGAAGGTGAGCACTGGGTCTTGTGACCCTAACCCACAAATGACCACTAGAAGGTAAATCAGTCTAAGTTGCCTCATAGCTGACTAACTCAAACAAGAAAGTTGGAATTTGAACTCGTGACCTTATGGTTATAAGTTTGTATCTTTAGCCATCTTAGTTAGGATTACCCTCAGCTATACCTTATTCCTACAACTCTCTTGAAATCAGCTTCAAGGGCACGTATCATGTACTCATAAAAATTGAACGTCCGGTTCCCCCTACAATGAGTCTGCAAAATGAAACTAATTAACATTTGCTCCAAACAGTAGGCCATAATATAAGAAAAGAAAAATGAACAGAATAATTACCATAATGAAGCCAAGCCTTAGTGTTGTATAATCTGATCTTGTGACAGATGCAAAAATTTGTTTGAAAAAGGATTGCTGAGAATTAATACCATGTAAACAACGATATGAATTGAGTCAATTTAGATGCAAAATTTTTTTAGTATGGAGTTGCTCAGAACCAACCCCATACTAAAAATTCTGGTCCAAATCTCCAGGTTTTTAGTTGAGATTGAGCAAATGATTCAGCAATTATCACAAGGAAACGCATGTACATATATGTATATATTCATTAATTAGTGACTTACAAACCAACTCAACAATGTGGTGCGTTTGCCAAACCCTAGAAATCGAGCCTTGACAAAATCATGCTCGTGGACATGCACAACATTGGGTGATGCAGCAGCTGCAGATTCAAAATTAGTTCCCTCCATCTTTAATATAATTTAAGAAGAGTTAATGAACGATTTGGTCCATCAATTATTAGCGAATTGAACTGTCAATGTAGTTCCTCAATCGCTTATTCATCTATTTAGTCACCGAAAACAATTATTTTTAGTCGATTTAGACCCTCAGGCTGTCTTCTGTCGAGGCCGGAGGGACTAAATCGACTAAAAATAATTGTTTTCAAAGATCAAATCGACGGCCAGAGGGACTAAATTCACTAAAAATAATTGTTTTCGGAGACCAAATCGATGAATAAGCAATTGAGGAACTACATTGACAATTTGGAGAGACCAAATCGTTGATTAACTCATTTAAGAATGAAAAAGAGTGAAGATGAACATTATTAGTAGGGTGAATCAACGATTTGGTCCCTCACTTATTCGCGACTTGTCAATGTTGCCCCTGAATCACGTATTCATCGATTTAGTCCCCGAAAATAATTGTTTTTCGTCAAATCAGTCCCTATGGCCGTATTTCGTCAAGTCTCAGGCGAGAACTCCGATTTGCCCTGGGCATTTTGGTCTTTTCACGCCTTCTTCTTCATTCCATCGTCGCCGACCTCAGCTTCACCTCCGATGATGAGTTGTTGACCCCAAACGTCACTCTCCGCCGAGTCATCCAGTCGTGGTGCCGGTTTGCTGTTTCGCCGGGAGGGATCAACTGCCAGGGACCCACCACTGCCGTCTCTGCCCCGCCGGGAAAAGGGGAGGTCGCCGCCGCCATCTCTTGAGCAACGGTCGCCGGAAAAACGAAGCTAAGCTTGCCATGCCGCCGCCGATCTATTTGCTTCGCTGGAAAAGAAAGAGGGGCGGAGGTCGCTGCTCCGATCTGCTGCTTCCGCCTCTTCATGATTCCACCAGAGAGAGGGAGGGGAGATGTAGGTCCATAGACCTTGTCTCGTCGTCGGATGTTGTTGAAGCCGTACGTGAGTTAGCCGAGAGAAGAAGGGAGAGACGAGATGTAGATAGGGATTTGTTTGGTTGTTGCTCAGCTTTTACCGAGAGAGAAGAGAGACGGAGCTAGCCGCTGCCTGTCGCCGCGACCTGCCGGGGGATTGCCGGCGCTCGCCGTCGGAGGAGAGGAACGAGAAAGAGAGCTAAGATGGAGAGATACGGCAGAAAAGGGTTGTTTGCTGAGATTCTCAAATTGCATGCTAAGGAATGGAAGAATTCTCCTTGTTTACCATTGGATTTGATTCATAACACCATAGGTGTTAATTAGGCAAGCCATCGGAGGTGCAGCTGACATCGGCAGAAGAGATGGAGCTCCCTCCGGCGAGCTTGAGCTTCTCCGGCGAAGTTTGGTCAGAATTAATGAAGAAGAAGGCGTGAAAAGACCAAAATGCCCAGGGCAAATCGGAGCTCTCGCCTGAGACTTGACGGAATACGGCCATAGGGACTGATTTGACGAAAAACAATTATTTTTGGGGACTAAATCGATGAATACGTGATTCAGGAGCAACATTGACAAGTCGCGAATAAGTGAGGGACCAAATCGTTGATTCACCCTTATTAGTATGTGTACGTATTGAGTACGTACGTACCTTGGTCTGGATTAGACTCTTGTTTCTGAATAGAGTCTTCCCAAGCTTTCCACTGCCGTATCTACAGCAATTAAGCAGATGGCATGCATGGGTGTAAGGTAGAAACTAGAAAGCAATGCATATATATATAAATTAAAGCAAAATGAGATAGATAATAATGAAGCATTGATCGATTACCTTCAAACTCCCAAATATCATTGTGAAAGCAGAGAAAAGGACGTGGGAAACAGCCAACACAAATATAAATGTATGAAGATGATGCAGTGCTTCAATAGATAGCAAAGGTACTTTCCCCTGAAAAAACAGAGGAAATTAAATGTGTTACAATTCCGCTGTCAACATTAGAGCATCCCCAACTGATCGTTTTTGTGTGATTTTTTTTTTTTGCGAGACCATGCCTATGTGAGGGAGAGAGAATTTGTATGGTCTTTGCAGGAGGAATTAATTTTTTGTCTCAACAGTGGCCCCACCTAAAAAACCAAAACACTCTCCTGATGCGCCTGACGGTGTGAAACACACCAGAAGCACTCAGCCGAGCGCGTGCACTCCACGCTCTGGCTAGGCACATTAACCACTCTTTTTTTTTTTTTTTTTTTGAAAACTTATTTTTCTTGTTTTTTTTTTTAAACGTTTTTTTACCTACTTCTTTCTTTTTTACTTGGCATTTAAAAATTTATGCAAAAACTAAACTAGTGAAGATGTTCATAACTATATTCTAATTAACATTCCAAATGGAGGGTCATAGATTCTTGATGGATTTAATTCACCCGGGGTGGCCCGAATTATTAAACTCGGATAAGAATGTGTACAAAATAAATAATATAACGCAGAGATATCGTAAGGCCGCAGGGACCGTATATTTTATTAATTGTCGCTAATAAGCTATTACAAGACTTGATTAGGACAATAATGCTAGAAGATAGTAATTCAGGAATATATTGTATTGTGTCCCTGTTTAGGACAAGAGGGAGGCTTTTTATATCAGCTCAAACCCCCCAACCGCACCCCTAGGACCGGGGGTAGTTGGATCGGTCCGCTTTGACCGAGTCCCCTCCGGGACCGGGTCCAATGCGGGCCGACTCGGCATGGCCGAGCTGGGCACGTGCCGAGCTCGGCCTAGCCGAGTCCACCATGGACCGGCTCGGTAGTGGCTGAGTCCATGGTGACGGGCTCGGGTGTACCGAGCCAGTCCGTGGCCGGGCTCGGGCCGACCTGGCCACGGCCCAAGGGACTGGGCTGAGGCTTCTCGGGTCCGTCTCTCCGGGTCGGTTCGTTCTGGGTCTAATATATCCATCAATTCTAGCCCAGTAGTGGGGACTTAGATATTTTGGAATAAAAATATTTGTGAAAGTATAAACCTTAATCTAATCATTGGTATCAGAGCTGGTTGAGTCTCAACAAGAGTAAAAACTGCAAGAAAATATATAGAAAACTGTAATACCTTGTCAGGACAGTACTGCGCGTTCCTGGATTCAGAGAGAAGGCGGCGCGTTGCTCCGGCGGGAGGAAGAAATGAAGAGACGAAAGTGAAGGCCGTCTGGAAGTGCGAAGTGGAAGCCGGCGGCCCCTTGGCGGCGTGAGTGTCGTCATCATCGCTCTTTTTGCAGGGAAGCCAGATATCCGCCTTGTGCTTGGAGATGCAAATTTTGAGAATACTGTTCTGGAACACAGTCATGAGCAGAGAAATAAACCCCAACAGCATCAACTCTGCAAATCGTATCCAATTCAATTCAGATCACAACTATATATAATATGAGGATGGAGTTTGTGCAATAGATTCACCTTCTTTAATTTTCTGTAGGGCTTCAAACAGAGGCTTCTGTTTTTTCTTGAGCAAAAACTGTATAGCATTCCAGTCAAGAGATACACAATTCAAGCATCATATCAGTAGAATTAAGAAATATATAGAATACCTTGCCAAGAAAATGAAGAATTCTTTCAAGAGCAAGAGAGATGGCAACGATGACTGTGCAGACGAGAGCAACAACCCAGGTGGGCGTCTGCTCCAAGTTGGTTACTTCTCCTTCTCCCCCTCCGGCCATATTTGTTGTTTCTTTTAGTTATATTTGTCAGTTTCAAAGAGCTAGCATATATATGAATTGGCCGGTCGTCGGATCCATTTACAAAGATCATGGTCAATAACTCATAATATATACATTCACACGTACTCTTCAATGTATACGTAATGCATACACCCTACCTAACTTGTGTATACTTTCTTTTTGAAAACTAACTTGTGTATACTTATTTCTGACTATATGTGATATGGTTAAGGATTAAATGGTAAATATAGGATTAGTTTATTCAAATTTACTCTATTATCGTCCCACGCAAGGTTGCAAAAATCACTAGGCGTTCCTCCGGCGCTAGGCGTTCTTTTTTTTTTTTTTTTTTTTTTTTAAATTTAAAAAATAATTATTTAAGATTTGGTAATTATAAACTATTTAATACTTTAATAGTTAGTACTAAAATATTAAATATTAACCTAAAAAAAACATTTAGAATTGTAAATTGTATAAAAATTTAAAGAATCAAAACACAACACAAAGTCACAACTCACAAGTATTAATATTAGAGTATCTGATTTTGATTTTTTTTTTATTACATTTGTTGGGTTTGCGCCCGATTTGAAAAATTTAGGGTTATTTCACTAAAAACGGCGTCAATTTGAGCAAAACAACCCATTTAAAAAAACACGAAAAAATAGCTAAACGGCCACATAGACGACCGCCTAGGCTGCCTAATCCGCCATGACCTAGTCGATGCCTTGGCAGCCGGCCACTTAAAACGGCGATTCCGCTGAAATTCTAAACGGCCGGCCACCACCTAGCGCTTAGACACGATTTTTTCAATATTGATCCCACATTTGTTGTATTGCTAGCTAGCTGCATAATTAAATTAAAGTAAAATATATCTACTTGAAAGAAATTCTTGTAGTGGCTAGGGATTTCAATTTCCCTTAAGAGTTAAGAAAGTGTTGTTACGATAGAATTTGTTGACAAATTCGGAGTAGGATATGTATACTGATTATCGTGACTTGATGCGAGAAGGGTGGGATTTGGACTTTGCGCTGGAAAAAGTCTTTTCGTCCAACAATGAATAAATATATAATCCCTATTTCCCTTTCAAAAAAAATATATACCCTATTGCATATATATTAATCACTTCTTTAGTTCCATTTTTTTTGTCGGATCTATATATCACTAATTTCTAGAATATATATATATATATATATATATATATATATATATATATATATATATATATATATATATATATATATATATATATATATATATATATATATATATATATATATACTAGTTTTTTACGCGCATTGCGCGATTGGGATAATGTCCAATGTTTTTTTTTTTTTTTTTTAAATAAGTACTTTAAAGTATATTAAGGCAAGATTATATTGAATTATTCATGCATAGATAATTGAAGGTTGAATTTGCGTATTTAAATAGGTAATTCTTCTCCCAAAGGTTGAGTCCCCTACCCCAAGGGCCCCCACACTCTGACTTGACAGAGCATTGTAAGAAGTTATAAATCACGGTGACTCAATGGTTCAGCAGACAAGACCAAATGCCGGTGCGAACAAGGAATCTGCCCACTTTGGACATAATTCCCGCACTGCCGCCGCCGAGGTTCAAACTTTGGTCTCTTCTCCCAAATACTGCCCACTAAACCATTGAGCTAAGCCCGTGCGGGTTAAATAGGTAATTCTAAGTTTACAAATGCAAGATAATATAGTCAAGATTGATTATAATTGTCAATAAAATAATTGTATAGGTATGGTTGAAACCAAATACGGGACATAAGGGAGAACAAATAAAAATTAGGGCATAAAATATTAAATATATACTAATATTGTTTGATGAGATTTCGACATTAGGATTTGTGATTAAGTTCTATTAAGACTTTAATATTAGAATTAGATTAATGGTGTAATTATAATTCTATATTAGACGTTAATATTATAATTAGATTAACGGTATTTAACGGAAAAGTTAAATGGATAATCATATAATTAAGGATAAATTAGAAAAATTTTTAAAAAAAATTAAAACCTGAACAATTTGAACCATTCATTTGATTTAATAATTTGGCGGTCATTTTTTCTACCCAATGTTAATAATTAAATAAATTCGTTGGTCAAATCCGCTAATATAATCCGCGCGCTAATTGCTGATTATCAAACAAGGACATTGCAAGGTAGTTCTCACTTCAATTTGTTGTGTGATTTGAATACTCTCTTTGTCACAAAATCTCTCAAGTAGTTAATATGGTTGGCTTTATTAATTATATATTTTTTTTTAATTTTTTCATGGTATTAATAAAATACTTGATAAATAAATATATAGCATTATTTTGTATTATAACTTTGATATTTAATTAGAAAAATAGTGCACAAAAAAAGATAATAGACAATATAGTGAATATAATCAATTAATGGATTTGAATGTAAAAATTTTTACATTTGAGAAAAATAAAGACAATATAACTAATGAAAATATTTCTCTTAATTAATTTATTGATAATGAATAATTTTTTTTTTCACTGAATTAAGACATTGTAAGGACAATGTAGCGAATATAATCAATTAATAAATTTGAATATAAAGAATTTTTATATTGTAGAAAAATAAAGACAATATAACTAATACAATTATTTCTCTTATTTAATTTATTGATAATGAATAATTTTTTTTGAATAAAGGCATTGTGGCCACATAATTCTAAATTAAATAAATGCATATCTATAATTTTTTGTTGTAGCTACTAAATTATTATTTATATATAATTTAATAAGAGTAAAATAAAGTACTAATTATGCCAACTTTGATTGGGATGAGGTTCGAACCTAAGACCTTTTTTTTTTTTTTTTTTATTGAAATCAATGAGTAAGTTAACGGTGAACTAACGGCAATTCTTAAAATTTTAACGGAATTAGTAACGGTGTGTGGGTATTTTAGGAAATTTCAGTGTAAAATTTAAATCTTATCAATCTTTTAATCAATCTGAGCCATTCATTTGATTAAAATCTGTGACCGCCATTTTTTCTACCCATTATAGGCCTAACTCTCTTGGGCTCTTATTAGTATAGTAGATATATATATATATATATATATATATATATATATATATATATATATATATATATATATATATATATATATATATATATATATATATATATATATATATATATATATATATATATATATATATATATATATATATATATATATATATATATATATATATATATATATATATATATATATATATATATATATATAGGAGTTCACGTGCTGCACTGTTGTTAGGGTCCAGCGGTACGGTCAATTGCAGGCTATTAGATTAGATAAATCCAATGAATCACATTTATTAAGGCTTCTCCAATATTTTCGCGCACACTACGCGAACTGCAAGGCTAAAGTCGTCATTGGGCACCAAAATAGGGCAAATCATGTTGTGTGTTTGATGTTCGTTATTGGTGCATTATTAACCTTACTTTGGTGTATTTGTGGATTCGTGTTGGTGCCAAGTTCAGGTGTGGCCGTGCCTTCCCGTGCGGTCAATGCGGCCGCACTAATAGTTATACAAATATACACCATCCATGTTAGAAAATGCACACAAAAAAACATGCACAAATTAGATACGCATCACAAGAACGCACCATTAGGTATGAATAAAAGCACCACACAGTGTTCGGAAATACACCATTGGGGGTGGTGAGTTATATGGTGTATTTTTTGGGTGTGTGTATTTTTTTGGTGTATTTGTGCATTTCATTGTTGTGCTTTTCCTAACACTATTGGTGCCTTTTGTTAACACTGTTGGTGTATTCTGTCAAGCGACCGCTATAAATGGCCACTATAATTACCATAACACCCCTCACTTACCAAAACGCGCTTAAATCTTCAAATCTTCAGTAATCAGCCACTGCCGTTAGATTAAACTAATTCAACGACACAGATACGACCGCACCACCGCATATGAATGCTAATCAATATATATATATATATATATATATATATATATATATATATATATATATATATATACACACACACACACACACACACACACACACTAATAACAACTAGTAAAGTTAAACCTATAACGGGAACTAAAAATGTCCATCAAATTATTTGGTAAAATAAATGGTTCAGATTATTTTGATTATAGTTTTTTTTTTTATTACTTTACTTTCTACTATATCATTTACTCGGTTAGTGTAAACTTTAGTAGCGGAATATTTCGTTAACTATTTATTATTTTTAACTTATTGATTTTCATAAGAAAGGTCTTAGTTTCGAACTCCATCCTAATCAAAGTTTGTATAATTGTTGAACATATACTATGAATATGTTAGAGTTTATTAAAAAAATACAATATAAAAATTGACATTAACTTTGGTCAATTAATTAGCCAGACTATATACAGAGCATTCAACGTTAAACATCAAAGATTACAAATAAATAACTTTAAAATCATTTTTTGCATTTTTTTTAAACAAACCTATATTAAAGTTTTTTTTTTGTTATTAATATTATTTTGATTATTTCGAACAAGACTCGATATTTTAATTATGCTTTTGTATTTTTGCGAATGATTAAGGTCATTATGGTATTAATAATTTTTGTCTGTATTTCTATAATGGTATAACTATAAATTACTTTACAAATATTGTACTATTATTTTTCATCATGCAAAATTGTTGTAAGTGGGGGGACGAGATTTTTTAGATCAGAGAAACAAAGCATATATATAAATGGTATAATTATAAATGGTGTATTTAAAAGTAAGGAACTCGAGTTCAAGCAATAGTGTTTGATCACGACATTGGAATGTATGATATCAATCTTCATACCAACTCCTGATATACTATTTCAAATGCCATTGTAAAACATGCGCGACCTAACTATAAAGTTGTTGATAAGAAATACTACAGCTGGGCTTTAAACGGTAGGATCATTATCCAAACAATTGATAATGATGACACCCCACCAGCTCCAATTGAAAAAATTTACACATCATTCTCAGAATTTATCAATGCATGAAAACTTCTAAAAAAAAAATTATAAGTTAATTTTTACTATATCATTATAACAATGTCTATCGTAACCATATAGTTCAAATTATTTATTTTCATCTTCTATTGACAGCAATTGTAGCAATTGTTATTGACAAACTCCCAAAACAATTTGTCTTAACAATGAATAGAAAAAAAAATCAATTTCATTGTTGTTGATGAAAAATAAGTTCTCCACTCTATTACTCAGATTAAATTAAATAAATTAGTAGCTGCAATAAAAAATAATAAATATGCATTTCTTTAATTTAGAATTAAGTGTCTACAATGCCTTTATTCAAAAAAGAAAAAAAATGGGTGAAGTGCCAAATAGAACCATGAACCAATAGTGAAATGTCATGTCACACCCTAATCTTACATAAGTGATTATTCGATTCACAAACCAAAAAAAATTGTTCGCCTAGCCTTTTTTACAGGTAGTCTTCAAGTTAAAGGTAATAACTTGATGATGTGGAGGTGATTTGGCAGAGACTTGTTTTGTTTTGTAGATGTGGTAACCATTTCAGCAGTTTAATTGATTTTCCAGCCAATAGCCATTCATTTGACGATAGAAGAGGAAGGCCGGAGGAGAGGTCCAGCCGCGCCATTGCCCAGGTGATTTGGCAGAGACTTGTTTTGTTTTGTAGATGTGGTAACTATTTCAGAAGTTTAATTGACTTTCCAGCCAATAGCCATTCATTTGACGATAGAAGAGGAAGGCCAAAGGAGAGGTCCAGCCGCGCCACTACCCAGTTTCGCTACCGCCGACGCTGGTCAGCCGCCACCGCCGGAAGTTGCCAGCTTGCTCTGCTTCCAGCTGCTGCCGTCGACGAGGAGAATAACTATGGAGTCGTCGCCGGTACCCTAAGTAATAGTTGCTAGAAAGCAGTAAAATTTGATTTTCGGAAAGCTTTGACTTTTATCTCATAAAAAAAAACATGCAATAGCTTATAAAAGCAGCCAATCAAATAAAACTGAAAAACAAACACAAAAATCTCATTTCATGAAAAAAAAAATAACAAGGTCATTTAAGCTCACCAGCAAAAAGCAGCCCCATTCCGACTCGAAAAACCTAAAATCAAGCGGCAAATCACCGGGGAGATATACACGTGTATATATGAAGAACAGATAGACGACGTGAGTACACATAGAGAGGAAGATAGAGAGAGAGAAAGTGAGATGTTTAAAATAACAGAGAGAGTCAAGCCAGGAAGCGTTTTATGGTTTTCGCACGGGAGAGATAACACAGTTCGGGTTTAAGGATGGGGAAGGTGTAGAGGCGGTGCCTGATGGTGCTGAGGCAGCCTCGACGGTCGACGGCGAGGCGGAGGAGGGTGTCCGGAGCAGTCCGCGGCGTAGGTCTAGCAGAGGGAAGACAGAGTAGTACTGTAGTAGAACAACTAGGTTAGGGATTGAATTTTTTATTAATTAAAAAAATAACCCAAAACTTTCTAAAAACTTTAATTTGGGACAAATTAATAAAAACAAACTCCACGTCAGATAAATACCGGCGCCATGTCATCAAGAATACCGAGAAACCTACAAAAAGTTCTAGGCGGACAACTTTTTTTAGTTTGTGCACCGAATAATCACTTATGTAAGATTATGGTGCGGCATGACATTTCGCTATTGGTTCATGGTGCTATTTAACACTTCACCTAAAAAAAATCATTATCAAATATCAATAAATTAAATAAGAGAAATAATTTCATTAGTTATATTGTCTTTATTTTCTCCAATGTAAAGATTCTTACATTCAAATTCATTAAATGATTGTATTCATTAAATTGTCAATTGTCTTCTTATTATACTATTTATTAGTGTTATATATATATTTATTTAGAGTTAATACTCAAAATCGTCCTCGACTATAGTGGTTTTTCTCAATTTCGTCCCAAACGACTTTGGTGACCAATATCGTCCCAGACTTTTGTGTTTCGCTCAATTTAGTCCTCCATTTGTTATTCCGTTAAATTGGTGTTAAATAAAGGGACAATTCAATAAAGTCAATATTGATCTCTCTTTACTTTCAACTTGTGAAGTGCGAAATTCCTCTTTCTTGTACGAATTACACCCAGAATTACTCCCGGACCTGCAAATTAAATTTTATATTCGCAGTTTTAGGAGTAATTCTGGGAGTAATTCGTAAAAGAAAAAAGGATTTCGCACTTCACATGTCTATGAGTAAAGAGATGCCAATATTAAAATTACTGAATTGTCTATTTATTTAACACCAAATGGACAGAATAACAAATGAGGGACTAAATTGAGCAAAAACACAAAAGTCTGGGACTAAATTGAGCGAAACACAAAAGTCTGGGATGATATTAGGTCACCAAAGTCGTTTAGAACGAAATTGAGAAAAACCACTATAGTCGAGGACGATTTTGGGTATTAACTCTATTTATTTATTACCAAGTATTTCATTAATACCATGGATAAAAATAAAAAATAGTTTGAAACCAATCATATTAACTACTTGGGGAAGATTTGTTGACAAAGAGAGTATTCAAATAACCTATTAAATTGAAGCGAAAAAATAGATAAGGCTATACGTGCAAGAGAAAACCTCTATGCTATACAATTCAATAAGCCTTAGAAAGGCTCTTCTATAAATAGTGGTGCAAACCCTTCCCAAACCAATGTGGGACAAAAGCTTCCTTTTTCCCTTCATTTTTCCAACTCAAATAGGTCTACTTTGAAAATCAATATTTTATTCACCCTTTATCCGTTTTCAGCGTACAATATATCAATCTCTTCGTCTTACTATGAAGAATCTGAATCCACTTTGACCCGACCCAAATCGAAAGTGGACCCCACTAATAATTATACCACAAAATAGTTACTTATAATGCCATTTTAAGCTATTTTTTCCAACATATACTTCCTCCGTCCCATTTTATGTGTCTGGTTTGATTAACGAGCCTTGACTGAAGTTATTTTTAATCCAATTTTTTCATAATATTAAGTTTAATATTAATATACAAAATTTATATATTTAGAAACTACACTAAAAGTACTATTAGACACAAAAAAATCAAATTAAAAAGTACTAAAGAAAATAAACAAAGAAGGAAATAGTTGGTTTGACCCCTAAATAGTAAGTATGACACATAAAATGTGATAGAGGGAGTAGTAGTTATGAAAATGACTTCACTCATTTTAAAAATTTGTAATATTTATGAAAATGGCCCCGCTCATTTTTACTTGATTTCCCATCTATCAGATTTTGCAAATCAATCGTTTGTATTTGTCAACAAGTTCTCACCTGGAAAGTGGTTCTCATATAACACTGCTGGAAATTATGGAATTTCCGACAACCTGAAAGTGATCTTAAATCAAGTCGAAAGCAAAAAGTGGTCGAAAATAGCAACAAAAGTTTTTCCGAATACCAAAAGTGGTCGGAACAAGGCTTTTGACTTGATTTAAGATTACTTTCAGTTGGTCGGAAATTCTATAATTTCCAGCCGTGTAATTAGGATTCTATAACTTTGGTTAACTTTTTACTACTTTTATATCTAAACTATTAAGTTTGTTTTTTAAAATTAACAATTTAATTATTATATTTGAATATTTATATTATTTTATGTTTTAGTATAACTAATAAATTTTATTATGTATATGTAATTTAAATATTATTTAAAAAAAAATAATAAGATGATAAGCCGTCGGTATCCGTTAGTGGGTACTCAAACTCGGTAGGGTGGGGGTGGGGGTTGACAATACAAACACAAATACATTTATTGAAGTTGGTTCTATGCTTGAATTTAGAATGTGTTTGAAATTCAAACCAATTATCTTATATAGTGACAAATGTTTATTTTCTGATATATGAGAAAGGCGTGAAGTTGTAATGGTTGTCAATATGGCTTGTTGACTTCGAGAAATGCATAAACATTGGTATGGCTTTGCTCATGGGAGAATTCTTGCGATTTCGAAATTGTATGAAAGGTTGAAACGAAAGCTCAAAATTGAATGGGTTATTGTGGTACAACTCTGATCTTATTTACTAGTTTTTTACCAGAAAATGTCCAATGTTTTTTTTTTTTAATAAGTACTTTAAGGTATTGACGGATATATTGGGAATCGACCCGAACCGACCTGAGGGCGCGAAGCAAGAACGGGTCCCGGGGCGGCGCCACGTACCCGCCCCGACCGAGGCCTCGCCACGTGGTCCCCGCACGGGCCACGTAGGAGGCTGGGCCTGCCTCTCCAGGAGGCCGGGCCGACCTCCGCATGGGCCCGGCCTGAGCCCATGATGAGCTCGGCCTGGCCCCCGCAGCGCGGCCCGGTCGCGAGACCGGGCGCGGTCAACTCCAGATCCAACTAACCCCCCGTTTTAAGGGGAGGCGGTTGGGGGCTTGGCTTGTATAAAAGCCCCCCTCCTTGTCCTAACAAGGGGCGTGCTATCTACGATCTACTGTTCTTACATACTCTGTCTTGAAATACTATTGTAATAGCCAATTCTACGGCATTTAATACAATCTACGGTCTCACGGCCTTTGCTATAACGTTCGTACTACTTATTTATTATTCGTATCATTATTCGGGTTAGTTAAGTCGGACCCCCGGTTTAATTAATTTCATCATTGGTGCTCTTGTTGAGAGCTGTTGTACAAGCTTAAGCGCTCTCCCAACTATTGTTCATCCACAGCGATGGCACGATCGAGATCCAGCTCTCGTCATACCAATGGTTCCCGCGGCACCCAGCTCGTCGCGAACGGGAACGGCCCCAACGGGGCCCCCGCCCCCAGCATCCAACCGACCGCCTCCACCAGGTCGGGGGAGGATCTGAGGGCCCAGCTCACCAACCACCGTGGCAGTGGGGCACCGTCACCACCCCCTGTCGCCCCTGCACCAGCTCGCGCACTCATCCAGGAGGGGGTGGCGGTCTTTGAACAAGCCTCCACGGCGCTGGCGCGTGTCACGGCGGGCCTTCGGGCAGAGGAACAAGCCGACCTAGGCGCCACCCGAGGGGCGCCGGTGTCACCTCCACCTCCTCCCACCTAGGGGCGCAGCGGTCCAAGCACCCGGCCACCCCAGGCACCAATCACCCAGGGGGAGGTCAACTCGCCTCGACCATCGGAGAGGCGGGGAGGAGGGGACTCCCGCCGAGGCCGCCAGCGCGACGGCGATGGAAGGGCACCAACCCAAACCAGGCCCGCCCTGGAGAGGTTGGGCGATCACGTGTCGGCCCGGGACAGGCTGGGTCCGAGGCCAGCCAACGGTTCCCGCGGCACCCAGCTCGTCACGAACGGGAATGGTCCCAACGGGGCCCCCGCCCCCAGCATCCAACCGGCCGCCTCCACCAGGTCGGGGGAGGATCTGAGGGCCCAGCTCACCAACCACCGTGGCAGTGGGGCACCGTCACCACCCCCTGTCGCCCCTGCACCGGCTTGCGCACTCATCCAGGAGGGGGTGGCGGTCTTTGAACAAGCCTCCACGGCGCTGGCGCGTGTCGCGGCGGGCCTCCGGGCAGAGGAACAAGCCGACCTAGGCGCCACCCGAGGGGCGCCGGCGTCACCTCCACCTCCTCCCACCTAGGGGCGCAGCGGTCCAAGCACCCGGCCACCCCAGGCACCTATCACCCAGGGGGAGGTCAACTCGCCTCGACCATCGGAGAGGCGGGGAGGAGGGGACTCCCGCCGAGGCCGCCAGCGCGACGGCGAAGGAAGGGCACCAACCCAAACCAGGCCCGCCCTGGAGAGGTTGGGCGATCACGTGTCGGCCCGGGACAGGCTGGGTCCGAAGCCAGCAAACGGGCCACCGGCGGAGGAATCATGCTCTCGCCGGCCACTGCAACAAAAATCGGCCACTCGGAGATCGCCGAGCCATGGGCCACGCGCCCAGCCGCGACACGAGGCAGCTTCGCGTGAGTCCGCAGGGCGGGTCCCCCGATCCCACCCGCGACGTGAGCAGGCCTCCCGGGTCGAATGATCGGGTGAAACGAATGGTAGAGCTCCGAGCTCCCATCGGGTAGAGGTCGAGCAGCTGCGGAGGAGGATGGACGAGCTCCAGAAGAAGATCGATGAGAGGGACGGATCTCCAGAGCCCCAGGATATGTTGTCCTCCCCGTTCACAAACGCCGTCATGGAGGAGCCCTTATCTCGAGATTTTCGTTTTCCCATCATTAAAGCGTACTCGGGGACCACGGACCCGCGGGCACACCTGACCAGGTACAGGGCTGCCATGATGATCACCGAGGCAATAGACGCCATCCTATGTAGGGGGTTCTTCGCCACCCTGGACGTGCAAGCGCATGATTGGTTCGGATCCCTCCCGGCGGGGTCCATCTCCACCTTTGCGGACCTCACCCGGCAGTGCCTATCCAATTTCGCCACCAGCATACCGCGGAAGAAGCAAATTGCCGACCTGTGTGATTTGAAGCAGGGGAACTCGGAGTCACTGGCCGAGTACCTCAGCAAGTGGAAGAAAGAGGCCATGGGGGTTGCCGACTTTGATGGGAAGTCGGCCATGGTGATTTTCCGAAACAACTTGAGGTTAGGCGCTTTTCACCAGGACCTCATCAGGTACCCCCCATGACCTATACCGACCTGATGGACAAGGCAGCAAGGTACGCTGACGCCGAGGCTGCCGAGAAGAGGAAGAAGGAACAGGAGGAAGGAAGAGGTCGAAAAGACAAGGCGCCCCAGGAGGAGCGCAAGGCGCCGCGGCCACACCGACGTGAGTACGCTGAGGGGCCCAGGCTGAACCCCACACGCTATCTCACCCCGCTGACACAACCTGTGGGTACCATCTTGGCGCACGCGGAGGACCAGGGAATCGTGGTATTCCCGAAAGGAGGAGTGCATGAAGATATCGGCGAGGGGGGACCCCAACAAGTACTGCAGGTTCCAGCGGCAGAAGGGGCACGATACAGACGAAAGCATCCTCTTAAAGAGACAAATCGAGGAGCTCATCCAAATGGGTTACCTCGGCTAATTCATTAAGAGGCTCAGCCAGGCGCAGGGCCAGAAGCAAGGCAATGTATGAAGGAAGGGGGGTGGCCAGGCGCCATCCACCTCGGCTCCCCGTAAGAGGGACCACCACGACAACAGCTCCGAGGAGGAGGAGAAGACAACAGAGGACTCCCAGCCCCCGAGGAAACGTACCATCTACGTCATCTTCGGGGGGCCCGTGGGAGGGGACTCGCCAGCCGAGCGGAAGAGGTGGGCGAGAAGCTTGTACGTGGGGGAGGTCACACGAACACCCCACGAGAAAAAACCAAAGAGGGAGCCCATCACGTTCACCGACGCCGACCTACCTGACGGGCCCCTCCCCCACCGGGACGCCTTGGTGGTCAAGCTAGACATCAACAACGTGGTGGTGTACCGGGTGCTCGTGGACACGGGTAGCTCGGTCAACGTCATGTACCACGACACATTCACCCTACTGGGACTCTCAAGAAGGCAGCTGGAGCAGGTACGAACCCCCATATCCGGGTTCACGGGGGACTCAATCGAGACAGAGGGGTCGATCACTTTGAATGCGAAGATAGGCACCCCACCTCACACCAGGAGGTGGGAGGTCGAGTTCGTAGTCGTCAAAATCAACTGCGCCCACAACATCATTCTCGGCCGACCCGCCCTAGAGGACCTCAGGTGCGTGATTTCCATGGAGCACCTGTGCCTCAAATTCCTGACACCGACCGGGGTCGGGGTCGCCCGAGGGGACCAAAAGGTGAGCCGTAGTTGCTACTTGAAGGCGTGCCGCCAAATTGGTCAAAAGGACCGCCAGGTCCACACCAGGACGGCCACGTAAGAGGAGGATCTTGGCATTGCTATTCTAGGAGGAGGACCATTCCCCTCCCCAATAATGTCTTGGTGAACGACAATAAGCGGAATAAAGTTTCATGTCACGAAACACGTTGTGAGTAGGACCCTTGTTACGAAGTTGGTTCTCCAATATATATATATATATATATATATATATATATATATATATATATATATATATATATATATATATATATATATATATATATAAAATTATGAAACAAAGGGGGAACGAGTGCTCACTCATGACTTCTCCCCGCGGACCCTAAGGGGGCACGAGGTCCGACCTCGCGTACCAACCCCTACGGAGGACGCACCCTAAGGGGGCACGAGGGCCGACCTCGCGTACCAACCCTGACGGAAGAGCCCGGTGGCACAGTCCGAAAGGACTTGGCCCAAGCGGCTAACGCGCACCCTTAGGAGGCACGAGGTCTAACCTCGCGTACCAACCCCGACGGAGGAGCCCAGTGGCTTGGTCCGACAGGACTGGGCCCAAGCGGTTAGGCGCACCCTAAGGGGGCACGAGGTCCGACCTCGCGTACCAACCCCGACGGAAGAGCCCGGTGGCGTAGTCCGGAAGGACTTAGCTCGAGCGGCTGAGGTACCCTAAGGGGGCACGAAGCCGGACATCGCGTACCAACCCCGACGGAGGAGCCCGTGTTCCTAGGCTTGAACGAGCCAGGACGGAGCGGCTATCGCACCCTAAGGGTGCACGAGGCCGGACCTCGCGTACCAACCCCGACGGAGGAGCCCGAGCGCTTAGGCTCGAAAAAAAAAACCAGGGGCGGTTTGGAGGACCTCGGCCATAGGCCGAGGTCGAGGTCGGCCCGACCTCGGCGTGGCAGGTCGGCACGCGAGGTCGGCCGACCCTGGGGTCGGCACGGCCTCGGCGGGCGAGGTCGGTGCGACCTCGGCATCGGAGGTCGGCGCGACCTCAGCGCCGGAGGATGGTGCGACCCCGGTAGAGGGGGACGACCGTCGCCGAGGCCGACCCCGGCGTGGCTTGAGCCCGGGAGGTCGGCCGGGGGGCCACGAAGGCGCGGCCTGCAGGCCACCCCGTGGCAGCGTCACGGTGACGCCACCGCGCCGGCGCCGTGATGGAGTGACATGGCAGAGATGCGGAGGTGCGTATGCGTCCTAGCAGATGAAGGAGTCATGTTCTGGATGGAGTTCTCATCATTATCACAAGAAGTGCATTTTCAAGGTTGGGACGCGGACATCTCGGGGTCGGCATTCTGGGGGGTTGACTGGAGCATCTACTCTCCTTCACTGACGATTACTCGCAGCTCGGAGAGTGGGGGACTGATGACGGATATATTGGGAATCGACCCGAACTGACCCGAGGGCGCGAAGCAAGAACGGGTCCCGGGGTGGCGCCACGTACCCGCCCCGGCCGAGGCCTCGCCACGTGGCCCCCGCACGGGCCACGTAGGAGGCCGGGCCGACCTCCGCATGGGCCCGGCCTGGGCCCATTATGAGCTCGGCCTGGCCCCCGTAGCGCGGCCCGGTTGCGAGACCGGGCGCGGTCAACTCCAGATCCAACTAACCCCCCGTTTTAGGGGGAGGCGGTTGGGGGCTTGGCTTGTATAAAAGCCCCCCTCCTTGTCCTAACAAGGGGCGTGCTATCTACGATCTACTGTTCTTACATACTCTGTCTTGAAATACTATTGTAATAGCCAATTCGACGGCATATAATACAATCTACGGTTTCACGGCCTTTGCTATAACGTTCGTACTACTTATTTATTATTCGTATCATTATTCGGGTTAGTTAAGTCGGACCCCCGGTTTAATTAATTCCATAAGGTATATCAACGCAAGATTATATTGGAATTGTTTATGCATAGATAATTGAATGTTGAATTTGCGTATTTAAATATGTAATTCTAAGTTTACAAATGCAAGATAATATAGTCAAGATTGATTATAATTGTCAATAAAATAATTGTATAGGTATGGTTGAAACCAAATACGGGACATAAGGGATAGCAAATAAAAATTAGCGAATAAAATATTAAATATATACTAATATTGAAGAGCTAACCGTTGATTGCCAAACAAGGACATTGCGAGATAGTTTCCTACTTCAATTTGTTGTGTGATTTGAATACTCTTTTGTAAATAAATCCCCCAAGTAGTTAATATGATTGACTTAATTTTTTTAAAACAATTATTATTATTATTATTATTATTATTATTATTATTATTATTATTATTGTAAATTTATATTGTTTAACAAAAATAGGGCATGGAGAACACGGAAAAGCTCTCGACACATCGGCCGCCCGCCGAGCAAGATTTACTAGAACGAAGTAACAAAAAACCAAAACGAGGCAATGCCGATCCGCCGATCCAGGCCATGGATGCGACGGATGAGAGGATGAGGACTGAGGACATCGAGTTCGTTCATGAGACACCGCTAGAGGAGATGATGGAGGAACCCATAGAGGAACCAACGTCGCATGCAAGGGGGGGTGACCTAGGGACGCTGCCGGTGATGCCTGCCTCGTCGCAATCAGTGTAACCCCCACGGCGAACCTATGCGAAAAGTGTAACGGGTCAGGCGGCTCTCGTTTCATCTATGCAGGCTGACAAGGGGAATGTGGAAGAAGATCACGAGGAGGAGGAGGATGATGAAGATGACGATCCTCTCTGTCCAACCATCCGGCTTACGAAGGCAGAGAAAGAGATGATACGCGCACCATGGCGGACATCGCTTATCATCAAGGTAATGGGACGAAGAGTGGGGTACGCATACTTGCGAAGACGCCTCGTCTCCATGTGGAAGCCGAAAGGAAGTTTCGATCTGATAGCCATCGACAACGAATTCTTCCTCGTGAGATTTGGGTCGGTGGATGACATGGAATTCGCAAAATATGAGGGCCCTTGGATGATATTGGATCACTACCTGACTGTAAGGGAATGGGAGCCAGATTTTGATCCCTTTGCGGCATCAACGGAGAAAGTCCTGGTATGGGTAAGAATTCCTTGTCTGCCAGTCGAATATTATAACTTTGTTTTTCTCAGGAAGCTGGAGAACAAGGTGGGCAGGGTGGTGCGCGTCGACCAGGCAACCAACCTAGTGTCCAGATGAATGTTCGCCAGGATCTGTGTTGAAATTGATCTGAAGAAGCCGCTGATATCTAAATTTACCTACAAAGGCAGGGTGCGCCATGTGGCGTATGAGGGTCTGCATCTGGTGTGTTTCGCTTGTGGGCTCTATGGTCACTCACCAGATGCATGCCCAAAGGCACGTACATCCGCGACGGAACCTGCGGCCATGCAGGAGGGCGAACCGGCCATTAAGGAGCATCAACCGACGAACAACCAACCGGCGAAGATAGGCTCTGCCCCCTTTGGCACATGGATGATAGCACCTGGGCGGAAGCGTGGTATGGGAGCAAAGCCACCTGAGCGAACACAACGAACTGAAGGAGGTCGAGGGGGAGTGCAGGCTGGTAGGCAAGGGCCGCGCATCCAAGCGTCTAGATTCGCCATGCTGCCATCGGAGGAGGGGGATGAGGCGATTGATGCAGGCACGGTCGATGGAATTTCGGATGTCCCAGGTGAGAAGTCTGATGAAATGCATGTACATGGCTTAACCTCAGACGAGCAGTTAGGGTCGGGCATACGGCAGATGACGCAGCAGGCCACAGAGGGAAGACAGAGACGACCCAATGTCATAGCCTCGGAGAAACAAATTTTAAATGAGCCAGAGGTGGAGGTTAGAACAACAGCCAGTGCAGGGGCGACCACAACAAAGAATCGTAGAGGCGGAGAGATGGGATCCAGGCGAGCGGCGGAAGAGGATGAACACGTGCTGATCCGGGGCAAACAAGGGGGCCTAGTGATTGA